ATTACATTTATTGACTTGTGTATGTTAAACCATCCCTGCATCCCAGGTATGAAATCCACTTGATGGTGGTGAGTTATCTTTTTGATACGTTGTTGGATTTGGTTAGCTAGTATTTTGTTAAGGAGTTTTGCATTTATGTTCATCAAGGATATTGTTTTCTTTTTTTGTTATGTCCTTCCTGGTTTTGGTATTAGGGTGCTACTGGCTTCACAGAATGATTTGGAGATAATTCCCTCTTTATCTTTTGCAATAGTGTCAATAGGATTGGTACCAATTCTTCTTTGAATGTCTGGTAGAATTCAGCTGCTAATGGTCTGGTCCTGGACTCTTTTTTTTTGTTGTTGGTAATTTTTAAATTATTACTTCAATCTTGCTGCTTGTTACTGGTCTGTTCAGGGTATCTAATTCTTCCTGATTTAAGCTAGCAAGGTTGTATCTCTCCAGGAATTTACCCATCTCCTCTAGGTTTTCTAGTTTTTGCATGTAAAAGTGTTCATAGTAGACTTGAATGATCTTTTGTATTTCTGTGGTGTCAGTTGTGATATCCCCCATTTCTTTTCTAATTGAGCTTATTTGAATTTTCTCTCTTCTTTTCTTGGTTATGGTCTGTCAATCTTATTTATATTTTCAAAGAATCAGCTTTTTGTTTCATTTATCTTTTTATTGTCTTTTTTGTTTCAATTTTATTTAGTTTTGCTCTGATCTTAGTTATTTCCTTTCTTCTGCTGGGTATGGGTTTGATTTGTTCTTATTTCTCTAGTTCCTTGAGGTGTGACCTTAGATTGTCTATTTGTGAGCTTTCTGACTTTTTGATGTAGGCATTTCAGGCTATAAACTTTCCTCTTAGCAATGCCTTTGGTGTATCCCAGAGGTTTTGATAGGTTGTATCATTTACTGTTCAGTTTGAAGAATTTTTAAATCTCCATCTTCATTGTTGACCCAATGATCATTCAGGAGCAGGTTATTTAATGTTTATGTATTTGCATGGTTTTTAAGGTTCCTTTTGGAGTTGACTTCCAGTTCTATTCCACTGTGGTCTGAATATTTGATAAAATTTCAATTTTCATAAATTTATCAAGGCTTGTTTTGTGGCCTATTATATGGTCTATCTTGGAGAAAGTTCATTTGCTAATGAATAGAATGTATATTCTGTGGTGGTTAGGTAGAATGTTCTGTAAATATCTATTAAGTCCATTTGTTCCAGGGTATAGTTTAAATCCATTGTTTCTTTGTTGACTTTCTGTCCTGATAATCTGCTTAATGCTGTCACTGGAGTGTTGAAGTCCCCCACTATTATTGTGTTACTGTCTATCTCATTTCTCAAGTCTAATTTGGGAGCTCCAGTGTTTGGTGCATGTATATTTAGGATTGTGATATTTTCCTGTTGAATGAGGCCTTTTATCATTATATAATGTCCTTATTTGTCTTTTTGAACTGCTGCTACTTTAAATTTCATTTTGTCTGATGCAAGAATAGTACTCCTGCTCACTTTTGGTGTCCATTTGCATGGAATGTCTTTTTCCACCCCTCTACCTTAAATTTATGTGAGTCATCATGTGTTGGGTGAGTCTCTTAAAGGCAGCAGATGGTTGGTGAATTCTTACCTGTCCTGCAATTCTGTTTCTTTCAGTGGAGCATTTAGGCCATTTACATTCAACATTAGTATTGAGATGTGAGGTACCATTCCATTCATCATGGCATCTGTTGCCTGTATACCTTTTTTTTTTTTTTTTTTTTTAATTATATTTTTGTTTTGTAGGTCCTGAGAGATTTATGTTTTAAAGAGGTTCTGTTTTGATGTGTTTCTGGGATTTGTTTCAAGATTTAGGGCTCCTTTTAGCAGTTCTTGTAATGCTGGCTTGGTAGTGGCCAATTCTCTCAGCATTTCTCTGAAAAAGACTGTATCTTTCCTTCAATTATGAAGGTTAGTTTCCCTGGATACGAATTTCTTGGCTGATAAATTGTTTTCTTTAAGGAGATTGAAGATAAGGCCCCAATCCTTTCTAGGTTTTAGAGGTTCTGCTGAGAAATCTGCTGTCAAGTTGATACGTTTTCCTTTATAGTTTACCTTGTGCTTTTGCCTCACAGCTCTTAAGATTCTTTCCTTAGTCTTAACTTTAGATAACCTGATAACAGTATGCCTCAGCGTTGATTTTGTTTGCAATGTATTTCCCAGGTGTTCTTTGAGCTTCTTGTATTTGGATGTCTAGGTCTCTAGCAAGGCCAGGGAAGTTTTCCTTGATTACTCCCCCAAATACGTTTTCCAAAATTTTGTTGTTGTTGTTGTTGTTGTTGGAGATGGAGTCTTGGGAGTCTTGCTCTGTCACCCAGGCTGGAGTGCAGGGGTGCGATCTCGGCTCACTGCAACCTTTGCCTCCTGTTTTCAAGTGAGTCTCCTACCTCAGCCTCCCTAGTAGCTGGGGTTATAAGCACACGCTACCATGGCTGGCTAATTTTTGTATTTTTAGTAGAGATGGGGTTTTACCATGTTGGTCAGGCTGGTCTGGAACTCCTGATTACAAGTGATCCACCTGCCTTGGCCTCCTAAAGTGCTGGGATTACAGGCAAGAGCTACTGTGCCTGGCCTGTTTTCTAAACTTTTAGATTTCTGTTCTTCAAATGCCTCAGGTGTTTGAGTTTGTTTTTTTTTTTTTTTTTTTTTTTTTTGTTTGTTTGTTTTTTTAAGGCCATTGGCTATTGTTAGTGTTAGTGTATTTTGCGTGTGGCCCAAGACAATTCTTTTTCCAGTGTGGCCCAGGAAAATCCAAATGATTGAACATCCCTGAAAACCACTGGTGGAGATTTTCTTGGAGTAGAACAAAAAGATTAAGGATAATGACTCCAAAGAGCATGGGAGAGTGGACAACTTTAGGGAGTGTTAGCTGCACCTCTTCCTATCATGTTTTATTTTGATGAATGGCATGATAACCCAATCTGGTGGTAAGCCCCAAACTTGGAATTATCTCTAAAACCACCTCCTCCTTTAATTCTACTGTTGAATCTATCAATTCTACCACCTTCATCTTTCTCAAGTCTGTCTCTTCTTTTCCATCCTCACACTACTAGTTGAATAAACCATATGAAATTTGTGTCAAAAATGGCTGAATATCAGCAATTTCAAATTGCTCAACTCAAAACCTTAATTCAGTCCTTTATCATCTCTCATGTCTATTTTTGCAATAACTGTTCTTTCTACCCCCATTAAACCCTAGATACATCTTTCTAAATGAAAACCAAATAATGGCACCTTGCTGCTTAAAACACTTTAAGTGCTCCCAAATTCTATAAAGAATCAAATTCATATATCTTAACGTGGCATACAATTCACTCAATTCACAAACTCTCTGGCCACTGTCTCTCTCCAGACTCTATGTTCCAGCAATACTGCTTTATTTGCAGTTTCCTTCTAAAATTGTGCAGTTTTACTTCTCTGTGCTTTTGTACATCCTGTTGTCTTTGCCTGAAAAGGCCCTTTCCTCCATTCTCTTTCCCTCCTCCTCCTGAGAGATTTCTAGTTAACCCCTAAAATAGCACTCCTTCTATGACATCATCCCAGACCACCCAGACAGTGTGTTAGTCTTTCTTTCCTCTGCTACAACCGAATAGCATATGTCGCTTTAATGCTGTACTTTAGGTGTTTTTGTCAGTCCCCTCAATAGACAGTTAATTCCTTTACAGAAACACTACCTTGTAGCCTTTATACTGCAACAACTCCAATATTAACTGTTAAACAAAAAAATGGGCCTGAGAGAGCAGTTATGATGGAGAAGGGGTAGAAGGGGTACCAAGGAGGCCATTTTGTTACTCTCTCTTGATAAAATCCATCTTGCCAACATACTACTTGGTCCTGTATCAGTGAAAATGTATGAGCTTTTAGGGTGGTCTGGGTGAGACAGGTAATAGGAAGGTCCTAGTTAACAGCTGCTTTTCCCCAGGGAAAGTTCTCAAGATTTAGTATCTGATGGGGAAGAACGCTCCTGAGGCTAACCAGCTGGGATAGCTATTATGGCAAAGCCAATTATTTATATGAAAGAGATTTATGCAAGTCAAGAACAGCTTTACTTTTACGCTTTTTCTCTTGGCATCATCTTATCTGTTCTAAAAATAAATGAAAACAGCTGGTGGATTTAAGTTCTAAACTTTCTCTTCATAATCACTACTGAAGTGTAAAAGAGAAATGACTGAAAGGGTCACCTTAGAAAACAGTATTAAAGGCTGGGTGTGGTGGCTCATGCATGTAATCCTGAGGTGGGCAGATCATGAGGTCAGGAGTTTGTGGCCAGCCTGGTCAACATCGTGAAACCCCATCACTACTAAAAATACAAAAATTAGCCAAGTGTGGGTGGAACATGCCTCTAATACCAGCTACTTGGGAAGCTGAGGCAGGAGAATTGCTTGAACCCGGAAGGCGGAGGTTGCAGTGACCTGAGATTGCGTTATTGCACTCCAGCCTGGGTAACAGAGCAAGACTCTGTCTCAAAAAAAAAACCGAAAAAAACCACTATTAAAAAATTTTTAAAAGCTTAATATAATTTAGATACTAAATCAACTGCTGAACTACTGGGTACTCACTATTGTGATCTTTAAAATAGTTCATTTGTTCATTCATTGGTTCTCTACCATGTGCCAGACAGCTGCACAGCCATAAGAATGTATTTTTTTCTAACTTTCTGAGTTCTGGGCATCATATACTATCTAGCTATCATTTAATTTCTAAATATCAGTAGCCTGCATGGTCAATGCCTGGCACAAAAAAATGTTTCATGCTGATGCTGGTAATGGTGGTGGTAAAAGTAATAACAATAGCAGCAGCAACAGCAATCTCCATTTAGTGTTTCCTATGTCCCATGTACCAGCTGAGCACCTTATATACATGATCTCACTGAATTTTCACAAACTTTCAGGTAAATATTATCCCAGTTGTTAGGACCTAAAATGCTGGGTTTCTAAAAAAAAGACACTCTAAAGTTTTCTAGTGCAGAGTTTCCTCTGGAACTTACTTTTGATTTACTGTGTCGTATAAGGGCAGACAGCAGTCTGTTTGACTCCCCCATCACACCAGCATGATCTTTGGCTTCACACCATTCCACCAAACGCTCCACTAACTTAACATTCTTTCCCAGTTGTTCAGCAGCTTCTGCTATAGGAAGAAGGCAAACCAAGGAATGAATCACTAACAATCAGCTGAAATAATTTGTAAATATTTAAGAATGTGAAGGCGAAATGTGTCTAAAGAAACGCAGCAGCACAATAACTGCATTAAAGCTCGAATTGCAAATACTCCTTATGTGATGGGCTATTTGGCTTTTTCTGTAACACTGTGAAATTTGACAGAAAACGCAAAAACAAATGACTTCATACTGTTTTGGTTAAGCCTGCTAATCTGCCAGTGCTCTGGCAGACTACAGTGCGGAGTTCTTAGAAGGAGTCTATGCAATCAATATAGAAAGAGGTTTAGAACTTGGAATAAGTAAATCAACATAATTTATTCCTAGGAGTGGTTTTGACTGTACTGTTTCTGCAAATAGAAAAATGTTCTCCCTGTCTACAAGACAGATTTTTAAAAATTTTGACTGTCACAATAATGAAATTTGATTTCACAACCAAGGTAAAAATGGGTATAGAATGCCAAAGCACACAACCTTCCCACCCCACCAGAAACTGATAATAAAGCAACCTAAAACCAGGATTGTAAGTACTAACAAGTAGAGATATGGTATAATTTCTATTTAAAGTCAATTATAGGCTGGGTGTGGTGGTTCATGCCTGTAATCCCAGCACTTTGGGAGGTTGAAGTGGGTGGATCACTTGAGGCCAAGAGTTCAAGACCAGCCTGGGTAACATGGTAAAAGCCCATCTCTATTGAAATTCCAAAAAAAAATTAGCCAGGAGTTGTGGAGCATGCCTGTAATCCTGGCTACTGAGGTAGAAGTTGCAGTGAGCAAGATTGTGCCACTGCACACCAGCCTAGGCGACAAAGCAAGACTCTGTCTCAAAATAAACAGTCAATTATAACAAGCACACAAATTAATAAATGGAGTTCCAAAACCAATTTTATGATCTTTGATTTGCTGTTTATTTTTATGATTATATAATCCTGAAAGCTAAAAATGAGTCCTTTTTCAACTAGAGGCACATTAAGACTATTGTATCAAAAATACAAGTTGGGGAAAACATTTCTTTTACCTTGAGCATCTATTAACATTCTTAATGTTCCCAGAAGTTTGAACTGAACAGGGGGCATTTCAGATTTAAGAAATTTCAAAACTGTCTCTGTGACCCCAGCTGATAACATCTTTGCTTTATTTATAACTGGAGAAAAAGAAAGACTATGGTTAAAAATGGTATTAGCATTCCTGTTGATAAACATTCAATTCAATATATATTTATTGTGTGTCTTTAAGATCCGTGTTATATTTTTCCATTTAGAAACAATCCTGTTACTTTTCTGTCCATTTTAAGAATGGAATCTAGTGTTTGTGTGTCCCTATCCTATTTGTGTATAAGAGCATAACAGAAAATACATACTTTCTGGCTTTTTAAACCTAATTCGAAACATTTACTTACATAGTTTGTAAAGAAAATCTGAAAATGTTACCCTCTTACAACAAAAAACACAATTCTGTTTTCAATCCAACTGTATTAATATAAATGTTACAGACATTAATAAATGTTACTATCCTATATAAACCAAGTTGAATTCAACTGGATTGGATCATCATATAATTATACTATTTCATCTAACCAGAAATTTACTTTTAGAAAGTAGAATAAAAGAATAGTTTTAACTATCTTTTGTATTATTTTCCATAATAATGTGATTTCATAACTTCCAAAGACACATTAAGGCTATTTTTAAAAAACTGTCTGCTTACAGAAAAATAAAAACAACAACTGAAAGTCATTCTTCACTAAAGATGCTTATGGCCTGGTGAAGTGGCTCTCACCTGTAATCCCAGCACTTTGGGAGGCCAAGGTGAGCAGACTGCTTGAGCCCAGGAGTTCAAGACTAGCAAGGGCAACATAGTGAGATCAGGTTTCTACCAAAAAAAAAAAAAATCAGGCTGGGTGTGGTGGCTCATGCCTGCAATCCTAGCACTTTGGGAGGCCAAGGTGCGTGGATCACGAGGTCAGAAGATTGAGACCAGCCTGGCTAACACAGTGAAACCCTGTCCCTACTAAAAATACAAAAATTAGCTGGGCCTGGTGGCATGCACCTGTAGTCCCAGCTACTCGGGAGGCTGAGGCAGGAGAATCACTTGAACCAGGGAGGCGGAGGTTGCAGTGAGCTGAGATCACACCACTGCACTCCAGCCTGGCAACAGAGCGAGACTCTGTCTCAAAAAAAAAAAAAAAAAGTTAGCTGGACATGGTGGCACATTCCTGTAGTCCCTGCTACTCAGGAGGCTGAGGTGGGAGGACAACTTGAGCCCAGAAGGCAGAGGCTGCGGTGAGCAAAGATTGCATCACTGCATTCTAGCGTGGGTGACAGAGTGAGACCCCATCTCAAAATAATAACAAAAAAACCTAAACTTAAGAAAGCTTAACTATACAACATGATGAAAATCTTAAGAGTCCACAATAGGTAATCGCATGTCTGAATGAAGGCAATGATTATTCTTGTACCGTCTCACAAAACTTATTTAACATATTATCTCCACTTATTAGTATGAAAAAATGTGAACAATGTGAAGACTATTTAAATTTTCTTCATCAGAGCAGGTTCACAAATCACATACACAAAATGGCTTCCCCAAATGAAGGATTTTACTTTTTACACAGCTGCCTTGTATTCTTAAGTCTTACCTGGAATGGCCAGGTTTCTGAGGGCACTTAGTGCTGCATGCTGTACTGTTACATTTCCATCTTCTACATGTCTGTCCAGTAAATCCATAAGTTTTTCTACAATCCCATTGTCTACCATATGAATACAATTTCCATCTGAAAAAGAAAAAACATTTTTTCTTCTTCTTTAAAATTTCTATAAATATTTTACACTACTGATATCTGCCTATTATCTACATCAGGGAAAATCAAGCTATACAATAAAATGAATTCCAAATCTTTCTCCCATCAGATTTATAGGTTTTTCTATTTTCTGAGTGACAAGTATTATAAAAATTCTTAAACTAGATAAAAATTTAAAAATCAGAAAAATTACCAGAAAAATCCTTAGACATAATATATCAGAAGTAGAAACACATGGTTAGAATCTCCAATATTTTTCATTTATTTTGATGAATGCTTGCGTTCTGCCAATGTTACAGTGATAGTACTCTACCTTTTGTTATCATGGCTGATACCTAATTTCGTTTTCAAACACTTACAAAGCACACAGAATATTATAATGACTATATTATAATGAACTATTATAAATGTATCCCATATCTAGTTTCAATGATTATCCATATTATGCCACTCTTACCTTCATTATTAGGGGGTCACTCCCAAAATGAAGGAGTAAAAATGAAGTCAGCCATAATGATATATACCAACAGTGTGTACTGAAAGACGATTAAACTAAAAAGAAAAATAACCAATATTTCCTAGACGTAGTATATTTCCTGGGCAAAAGAGAATGAGTTTCTAGACTGTATTTGAGTTTTTTAGGAGTGCCAGATTTCATAAACATAGAAGTCTGGTACCCTCTGAAATATTATTAAGCTAAATTAAATATTCTACATGAAGTCAGAGGATCATTCATACTTAAATTTTATGAGCTTAAAAGTGTAAGTTGAGGCACAATAATTCTAGAACGAATACTCGGATAATTAGATCCAAAATAAAATCACTAGGCAAAAGAGAGCAGATGTATATTAGAAGGGATTCAAGCTTACTAAGCTCTGAAGCACAAAGTATTCAAAAGAAGTACTACTTCATGACCTTTAAACTCTTAGAATTTAGTTGAATCGCATAAAATACATAATTTGTTAGGAATGTCACTATAAGTATTTCAGATTTCTGAAAAATTAAGTTAGCAGCATACACACATATTACACAAACGTCTAAATTGTTCCAGTTTTAGTATATGTGATGGCAAAGCAAAAATAAACAAATATGGAATATTTGACTAACAAAGGAAGAACTAATATGCTTACCATTTCTGGCAAAATTTGCAATTGCCAATGCTCCAGCAAGCTGTAGCTGGTGGTTATTTGATGGAATCCAAGAAAGCACTCTTTGAAATACACTGCCTTTTCCTCCTTCAAATAACTTCTGCATGGATTCATCTGGAGGTAAATCAAACATTTAGGCAAGAGAAAAATAACTACGAGTAACAAATTCATATTCTTGGGTGAATATCCAATGGGGAAACTACATACCTCAGAAAGTATTAAATTCATAATGGGAAAAGTAATGATTCTTTTTATAATAATCTTTTAATAAATACTAGACAATAGAGTTTAACATCTTTCTAGTCCAAGTCCCAGGGAGCCATCTAGCTTTTCTTCAGTCCCTTGGTGCCAAAGCTACCTCTTCTATGTGACAGCTCTTCAAATATTGGAAGACAGTGAAGACACTTCTTTTTCGGGTTCATTATATCTGGTTCTATCAATGATGTGTTAAAAATGTCAAAATCATCACCTCAACAACATGTGAGATAGAAAAATAAGAAAATGCCTAGGGTAGTATTTACAGAAGAGATAATAAATTTAAAAAAATCTGACAACCACGTTATCTGGCTGGCATAAATTACAACTCACCTCCAAGTAGTAATAAAACCATGAGATCTGAACCAGTTTTGAGCTCAGTAATGTCATCTTCTTTGTCACTATCCACTTTTTGCTGAACAATCTCTAGTAGACACTCTACTAGGCCTGCTTCAACCAGCTGTAGTTTAATAGCATCTAAAGAACAATGTGAATAACCAAACTTTGAGATAAACAGGAGCTCTCGTGTAAGCAATCCATTATAAAGAATAAGAAATTAAGAAAATGCATGATTTAGATAATACATTTTAGATACTCAAACCTTCAAAGTAAACTATCTTGACAGTTCAGTTTACATATACAAAAAACTTTATTTCATTTTTCCATTTGAAATTATGTTGCATTTTTCACAATGTCTTGCAGCATCTAAGCAAACTGATACTCAACTCTGAAGGCAACTAATATCACTCCACTATTAGTCTAGATATTATGCTCACGTTTAAAGGGCAAGCTATAAGGAACTATAAAACAGGGCGGGGCATGATGGCTCCCACTTGCAATCCCAGTGCTTTGGGAGGCCAAGGCAGGAGGACTGCTTGAGGCCAGGAGTTCCAAGGTTACAGTAAGCTATGACTGTACCACTGCACTTCAGCCTGGGTAATAGAGTGGCCCTGTTTATAAAAATAAAAGTCATTTTTGTTTTGTTTTGTTTTGTTTTTCTTTTGAGATGGAGTTTAGCTCTGTCTCTCAGGCTGCAGTGCAGTGGTGCAATCTCAGCTCACTGCAACCTCTGCCTCCTGGGTTCAAGCAATTCTCTGCCTCTGCCTCGGCCTCCCAATTAGCTGGGATTACAGGTGTCTGCCACCATGCCCGGCTAATTTTTGTATTTTTAGTAGAGATGGGGTTTCACCAGCTTGGCCAGGCTGGTCTTGAACTCCTGACCTCGTGATCCACCCACCTCGGCCTCCCAAAGTGCTGGAATTACAGGCGTGAGCCACCACACCTGGCCGATAAAGTCATGTTTTTAAAAAGGGCTCAGGTTTTCATAAATTTAAAGCTTTCCTGAGTGCTGACTGCATGGTGGTTTACTAAATGCTGTTTCTGAATGTTTCAAAATGTTCATAATAAAAGTTAAAGAAAAAAAACACTCTGAAGCTCTCTGATGGCTAACCATAAAAGAAAGTATTTTAGAGACAGAATTTACATCCCAATTATATTTTTAAAACTGATCTTCATAGGAAACTCCATTCCCAGATCAAAACTTTTTATTATACTTCTAATATCTTTAAGTATTCTTTCATTATAACACATTTCATTGAAGACCTTTTATCTGCATCCATATGTGTCTCCATATATCTCCTGAGCCAGATATACCATAGTCATCTTTGTATTTTAACCTAAACTGGCCTATCTAAATGCTTTGAATGTACCTGATACTCCTTAAGATAAATGCTAATCAGCTGACCTTAAAAATACATTTGCAACACAGATTTTTGTTTGTTTGTTTAAGAGACAGGGTCTCGCTCTATTGCCGAGGCTGGAGTACAGTGGTGTGATCATAGCTCACTGGAGCCTTGAACTCCTGGGCTCAAGCAATCCTATCTCAGCCTTCTGAGTAGCTGGGACTAAAAGTGCACACCATCATGCCTGGCTAATTTTTAAATATTTTTGTAGAGAAAGGGTCTTGCTATGTTGCCTAGGCTGGTCTTGAACTCCTAGCCTCAAGCAATCTTACTGCCTTCACCTCCCAAAGTGCTAGGATTACAGGCATGAGCCACTGTACCTGGCCAGACACTTTTAAATTTAAATTTTTTTAGTTGGATTTTATTTTAGTCATTGGTTTCCCTAAACTGTATATGCATCCATATATGGCAACTGCAGCTTCAGCTTACTTAGGAAAAATAAAGGCTTTAAAAATAAATACTTAAGACTTTCAGGCAATTTTAATTTCTTAAAATTTAGCTTTTTTGAATCACTAGAATAACTGATCTTCTTTTAAATATTATCTTAGAATACACAGAGCATTCAACCTGGAATATTTCTTTAGAAGGTACACTTGCACTGTGCCATGCTAAAAGTAGGGCGTTTCCTTGGTTACAGAATGCTAGGGGTAGAAATGTGTGGCAACTAGAATTAAAAACTATGATGAAAAAGCCTGAAAAATACTAAAAACCTTGAACTATACAAATCCCAACTTATGCTGAAATCACTCTCCTTCCTGTACTGAGAAAATCAAGGATGATACATGCTAAGGATTAGTCCAAAAACAAGCCTTCAAAGGTATCATTCTATTAACTGCATAATTATAAAACAGATGTAAAGGCAGAAGGGAAAACAGTAATAAAATATAAACACATTGTTATTTTGAAATACTGCAAGGAAAGCTAGGGGTAATTTTACGGCATAAAATTGACTGAAGGTCACAAAGTTTTTACTTTGCCAAATCACCAATGTGATGAATAACAAATTTCTCCCTAAAAAATAGGACCTAAGACATTTAAAAATTTTTTAATGGGTCAATATTGTAGTTTTAAAATTCTAATTTATTTTTTATTTTTTTGAGACAGGATCTTGCTGTGTTGTCCAGCTGGTCTTCAACACCTGGGCTCTAGCAATCCTCCTGCCTTGGCCTCTCAAAGTGCTGGGATTACTTGCGTGAGCCACCATGCCCAGTCTAAATGTGTCAATATTAAAGTTTATAATCTCTTCTTACAATTTGATTGAAATCAAATATTTGAAAACAAATATATGTGGCTTAAACTACCTTAATTAGGATTAATAAGATATTCTGCCAAAGCAGACAGCGTAGCACATTTATCAACACCATTCTGTCCAAGGACATGTATCTATCACAACTGTTTACACACATATGTATGAATGTACACATATACATATCACATGTGAATTATATGGTATTTTAAAACCTTTTTTAAAGGGTGAAAGAAAATACAAATGCAGAAAAGTGGGTAACATATGCAAGTTAATTTTATTATTAGAAAGCAAATAACCATGTATCTATCACCTAGATCAAGAAATTCATTGCCAACAACACAGGAAGCCTATCTCTGCATTTGTTTCTGATTACAAACCCCTTCCTTCATTCCTCTCAAATCATCCCGATTATTTTGGTAATCACTTCCATATTTGCATTGTTTTATCAAATAAATAATAATTCTTAAAAACTACAGTTTAGTTTTACCTTTAAAACTTTATATAAATGGAATCATATAGCATGTATTTTTCAGTGTTAGCTTTTTCCTTTCAACATTATGAGATCCATCCACAGTAATGGTTATAGCTGTCTTCATTCCTTTTCATAACTCTCTATTTTTCCATTATATTAATATACTATGATTTATTCTACTGTTAAAGGGTATTGGTTGTTTCCAATTTTTCGTTATTGTAAATAATGTTCCTTTGAACATTCCTTTAACAGCTCCTGGTGCACATGTGCACAAGGTTCTGGGTATACTTCTAATTGCTGGACCTATTGCTTCAACTTCAATAGATACTACTTCACAAATTGTACCAATTTACACTCCCACTGTTCCACACCTTCATCAATGGTTGGTTTATGAGACTTTCCAATGGGTGTATAGTGGTATTTTATTGTAGTTTTGTGTTACCTAAGAGTGAACATTGTCATATCTATATTAAGTCTGTTGGATTCTATTTTTGTCAAGTGCTTATTCAAATGTTTTGCACATTTCCCCACTGGGTTTTCTACATTTTTCTTAATGATTTATAGGAATTTTTATACATAGTATACACGAGCCCTCTGTCAGTTATGTTATAATTATATTCTCTCAACCAGTCTTGCTTTTCACTCTTAATGGTGTCTTTAAGAAAGGAGTTTTAACTTTTGTTTGTTTTTGGTAGAGATGAGGCCTCACTATGTTGCTCAGGCTGGTCTCAAACTCCTGGTCTCAAGTGATCCTCCTGTCTTGCCCTCCTAAAGCATTAGGATTACAGTCATGAGCCACCAGGCCGGCCAGAAGTTTTTACTTTTAAACTAACCAATGTATCAATTTTTTTCCTTTGTGATTAGAGCTTTTTGTGACCTAAGAAAAGTATTTCAAGGCCATAGTGATATTCTCCTAGCTTACATTTTAAGACAAAGTTTTTGAAGTTTTAACTTTCACATTTAAGTTTGTAATCTATCTGGAACTAATTTTTTATATTTTTTAATAGTCCATAGTCTTTTATCTTGAAAACACCTATTATGCTATGAATTCATAGGGAAGAGGTTCCAACAGCTCAGGGTCCCTTCCGTTGGTTCTCACAAAATGAACTTCTCTAGGTTGAGCAGGCTGTTCCTTCCTTCTTTTTCTTTTCCTACTTTTCCTTCCTTCACGTGTTTCAGGTAGGTATTTTGGCTCTTGAGTGCTTAATATGCTCATTATCTACATTAATTCTTTTGGCAACAATCTTGCCCTTAACTTGTTTGTTTACAACAATGCCAATACCACGCTGGGTAACAGACTCCTTTGGTTTTCCATGGTAACATTTGTGGGGCATTCTTTTTTTGAACAGGATGCGTTCCCCTGATGTGTACAATATCACCTTTCCTGCAGATGTGATATGTGGCTAAAGGAACAACATCCTGTAGATGTGAATATATGTGGCTAAAGGCCTGTTTTCTAAAAGGCCTACAAAGTACATATCAGATGCTTCTCCTCTTTCCCTTTGTGTTCATCATTTTGGTAAATTACTGGAAGGTGGCAGTTCCAGCCAAAAGGGCTATCCAATACATTTTTCACATTTTATTTTCTGTTATCTTTGTATATAGAAATTCTTGTTTGTTTTTTTGCCAGTAATGTAACAAAATTCTGATTTTGAAAAATAATCTATAAAACGGATCTACATATCTTTTTGAATTAAATATGCATCTCACATCATATATGAATAATGACAGTTTTATTGCTTTCTTTATCTTAATTTTTTTTCTTCTCTTTAATGCACTGGATACTTCTTACAATACAATATTAAATGGAAGTGCGGATGATCCCTCTTGTCCCAATATCAGAGCAAATGCTTTTTTATTTCACCATTGAGTGTGATGTTTTCTGCAGGCTTCTGATAGATATCCCTTTCAGACTGAAGACCCTCCTAGTGCTGTTTTCCTAAGAGTTTTTATACCATTCATACTTAAAAATATATTGGCATCACGCCAGGTGTGGTGGCTCATGCCTGTAATCACAGCACTCTGTGAGCTAAGGAAGGTGGATTACCTGAGGTCAGGAGTTCGAGATCAACCTGGGTAACATGGTGAAACCCTGTCTCTACTAAAAATACAAAGAAAAATTATCTGGGCTTGGTGATGGGCGCCTGTAATCCCAGCTACTTGGGAGGCTGAGCCAGGAGAATTGTTTGATCCTGGGAGGTGGAGGTAGGAGTTAGCCGAGATGGTGTCACTGCACTCTAGCCTGGGTAACAAAGCGAGACTCCATCTCAAAAAAAACAAAAACCAAAAACTGCCCCCCCGCCAACACACATACATATATATATGGGCATCAAATTGTTCATAATATCCTCTTAATAGCTGTAAGAGATGTGGTAAGGTCTCCTCTGGTATTCCTAATTTTGGTTAGTTATGCTTTCTCTCTCTTTTCATTACTAATCTTACTAGGGGTTTACCAATTCCACTGTCTTTTCAGACTCAACTGTAGCAATTATATGTTTGTGTTGCATTGTATGTTTTCCATTTTTTTAATTTTAGCTCTATATTCCTTATGCTTAATTTTTTAAAAAAATTTCAATAGCTTTTAAATTTTAAAAAAATTTCAATTTTAAAAAAAAATTTCAAAAACCACTAAGTGGTACAAGTGGCTTTTGGTTACATGGATGAATTGTATAGTGGCAAAGTCTGATTTTAGTGCACCCGTCATCTTAATAGTGTACACTGTACCCAATAAGTAATATTTTTATCCCTCAACTCTCTCATCTCATTCCCTCCCTCCTGTCTCCAAAGTCCTTTCTACCACTTTGTATGCCTTTGTGTACCCACAGCTTAGCTCCCACTTATAAGTGAGAATATGCGACATTTGGTTTTGATTCCTGAGTCGCTTCACTTAGAATTAATGCCCTCCAGTTCCATTTAAGTTGCTACAAAGAGACATTACTTCCTTCTTTTTTATAGCTGAATAGTATCCCATGAAGTGTGTGTGTATGTGTGTGTATGCAGTCCATTTTCTTGATCTACTCACCGATTGGTGGACACATAGGTTGATTCCCTATCTTGCCTTCCACTTTTTAAAAGAATATATATTGCTTGTGGATTTTGTCAGCATTGTTGTATTTTATTCCAGTTAACTACTTAAATTTTTTTTTTGTAAATTTAGGGAGTACAAGTGCAGATTAACAAAATTAATAGACCACTAGTTAGATTAACCAAAAAAAAAAAAAAAAAAGGGAAGATTCAAATAAGCACAATCAGAAAAACAAGGGTGACATTATAGCTGATACCACAGAAATACAAAAAGATTATGAGACTACTATGAGCATATTCACACAAATCAGAAGGTGAGGGTTAAAAAATTACCTTTTGGATTTTTGGGCTTATATTTTCTTTCCCCTAAATTCCTGAGATGAATACTGAGAGCTCACTGATTTTAGTTATTTTCCTTTTCTAATACAAGCATTTATAGCAAAAACTTTTCCTCTGAATATGGCTTTACTTGTATCACATAAGATTTGAGATATAGTATTTTCATTTTCACTACTAGAAAAATTTCTAATTTCCATTAAAATTCTTTTTTGATCTCTGAGGTATTGGAAGTGTATCTTTTTTTTTAAAAAAAAAAAAACTATATAAACATACAGAGATTTTCTGGTTTTCTTTTTATAACTGGTTACTAGACAACTCAGGTCAAACAAATACCTTGTATGACAGCAATCTTTTGAAATTTCTTTTCTAACAAGTATACATGTTCTTGTATGTACTTGAGAGAGCTCTGCAGTTGAAGTGTCCTAAAATAGGTCCATTAAATCAATTTTCTTAATCATGTTGAAATTTTCTATAACCTATTTTTCTATCTGCTTATTGTTGAGGTATCAAAATTGCTCATGATATTTGTGGATTTGTCTATTTCTCTTCATAGTTCTGAATGTTTTTGCTTTGTATGTTTTTGGATAATGAATAATGGTTATTTTTTTCTAGGTGAATTGGACCCTTTATTACTCAAGTCACCCCCCCTCCCGGCTTTTTTTCTGAGATGGAGTCTCACTCTATCACCCAGGCAGAAGGGCGGTGGCGTGATCTCGGCTCACTGCAACCTATACCTCCCCGGTTCAAGTGATTTTCTTGCCTCAGCCTCCCGAGCAGCTGGGACTACAGGTGCCCACCACCATGCCCAGCTAATTTTTGTATTTTTTGTAGGGACAGGGTTTCACCAAATTGCCCAGGCTGGTCTCGAACTCCCGACCTTGTGATCCACTCACATCTGTCTCCCGAAGTGCTGGGATTACAGGCGTGAGCCACCGCACCTGGCCAACTCACTCTCTTTATCTCTAGCAAGTCTTTTCATCTTAAAATCTATTGTACTTGATATTAACATAACTACCCCAACCTTCTTTAGGTTTCGGTGATAAATTTTTTCCATCCTATTATTCTCAATATTTTAAATCTCATATTTAATAAGTGTTGCTTAAGTAGTATAGTTGTTTAAGACACAAGTGACAAATGGTCTTTTAACTAAAGCATTTAGGCCACATACATTTAACATATTTACTGAAACACTGCATCTTAAAACTGTATTTTTATGCTCTATTTGTCTTCTATGATTCATGTTCCTTTTTCTTTCTCTTTTTCCTCGTTTTACATTCCTAGGGTATTAAAAAAATCTTTCCATAAGTCATTCTATTAATTTGGTAGTTATACATGATTTTTAAAAATTATTTTAGTAGTCACCATAAAAGTTGAAGGGATTAAATAACCAGAGTCTTCCAGATAATACAAGCAGCTTAGGACTCTAACTCCTTTTACCTCTCTCTTTATTTATATGCTCAGTCTGTGGTATATTATTTTCAAAGCACATCAATGTAGATTTTAAACATCACAATAAGTAATTTTTAAAATATATTCAATGTTTGTAAGATTTACCTATATATTTACTAGTTTTTCTGGTTTTTATTCTCCCCTGCATTTATATCATTTTCCTTCTGACAAACCACATTTATAACATCCAACTTTCATTGTTGCTGTTGAGAAGATAGCTGTCAGCCAAACTGTTGCTACTTTGAAGATAATAATTTTGTCATTGGTTTTCTATATTTTCAGTATAACTTACCTAGATGTGGATTTCTTTTTTATCATATTTTGGATTCAAAGGGCTTCTTGGATCTTTGGTATTTTTCATAATTTCTGATAAATTCTTTGCCACAATTTCTTCAAATATTGCTTCTGCATACCCCACTCCCTACCTTCTCTGCTCTCCTTCTGGGACTCCAAAAAATGCGTATGAGAACCTCTTACTTTATCCTCTGACCCCTTATTCTCTTTTATGTAAATGGGTTCTTCTTTCCTTTTAGTTCATATTGCATTGCTTTCCAACCCATTTTCCAATTCACTGGTTCTCTAATTCAACAGTACCTATTTAAACTGCTATCAAAACCCCCACTGGATTCTTAATTTTGGTTATATTTTTCCATTCAGAAATTTCATTTGTTTTCTTCTTAAGTCTATGTCACTTTTTAAAAATAGTTTTTAATTCCTTCTAAATTTTTAAGCTTGCTTTTACCTCTTTGAAAACAATAGACATACCTGTTTTGAATCAGTTGTCTAATAATTCCAGTATCTGAAGATTTGCTGCTGTTGCCTATTCTTACTTAGTTTGTCTCATGTATTAATATCTGGTCCTCTTTGAATACATGTTAGACATTATATGTGAAAAATTACTAACATGGAATGAATGGTTTGTTTCCTCTGATTCATGCTTATTTCTACCATGTATCTCTTAACATTTTCGTGCCCAAAGAAAAGAGTAGTTAATCGGTATCTTCACTGTTGGCAGGCCTGAAACTCCAGCTTTTATCTCCTTTGCCTTACAAGTGTATAAAAGTAGAGTTTAGCCTCTCAGCTGCCTTTTCCAGAATGGCACAAGAATGTGTTAGCTACAGAAGTACCTTAAGATTTTAAAATCAAAGGAACCTGGAAAGTTGCTTTGACCAATGTAAATAACATAGCTATGGAGCAGGTAACATAGCTAAAATTAGAGATAAGCAAAATAAAACATATCACTAATAAAACAAAGAACGGTTTTTAGTCAAATAGCTGGCAATTAAATAATATTAGGAAAAAAATTTAAAGTATACATGACCAAAAATCCAAAGGTGCATTTATTTTTCTCACCGTTTTCTGCCAATGGAGCAAGAACTTCAAAAATCATTTCTCTCTTATCATGTTCTATTTGTTTCTTGAAGAGTTTAACCAACTCTTCAGCAATGTTTGTACTGGCAAACTGTTCTTTACTTGACTCTGTAAAAGAAAAAAGTAAAACTTAAACCAAATTAAACAGAGAAACTGTTTTCTATTACTTTCAATACTTGGTCATTTTGTACCATTACTGATAAATATAAATACTCTTCAAATATAGGAACAATCAAATGCACTCTTAGTGCCCCTGAAAAATGTCTAAGGCTTTAGAGAAAATGTTCTGACCCAGTTATATTTGAGCTATAAAGGAAGGTTCACTAGCATAACATATATGTAACCACAGTAACAATAAAATTACTAAGTCATATATTCATAGTTTTAAGGATTTTGGTCAAAGAATAAAAATTTCTCCTAACATTTTGTGTTCTACATGGATGAATTAAAGGTGACTTATCTTTAGCATCACTAAAGTAGCACCTTTTCTACACTGATCCTGACTTATCTACTACTGAAGACCAATTCTGCATGAGTAATGGGGGTTTCATTCCTTCCTGCCTGTCAGCATCTCCAATCTCTCCTCCTTATCCTAGAGCTTCACCATCAATCAGCATTTATATATACTTGGGTATTTCTCATGAAAAAAATATTAAAGACAAACGTGCTCCCCCAATCCACCTCTTTCAACTAATTTCATTTTCGCTTTTACAAACAAGTTTCTGATAACATCGTTTACATACACTGCCTCTACTCTCTCAACTCACATGCATTACTAAATCTACTATTTTTGGCCCACCTGCCTCTACACTCAGCAATCTCCTATAATTGTTTCTCCTTTTCCACAAGATCTCTATGAATTCTAGTTCTGTAGGATTTATCTTTTGCTTTCTTTACCTTCTCAGTCCTTACTCTCACCTGAGGAAATCTAATTCTCTTTCATAGCATCAAACAGCATCTCTGTGTTGATATTTATACAACATAAATATTCATAACCCTCTTCTGGACATCAGGCTATTTATTTAACTGCCCATTTGACATCTCTACTTGAGTGTCTCTCTAGTATTCTAAACTCAGTACTGAAAAGGGGCTTTTCATATACTCTGAAATCTTCTTCCTCTGGGTTTCCTCAACTCAAGTGTATGAACATTCCATCTATCCATGTACCTAGGCAGAAATCTAGGAGTCGTTGCTCATTTGTTTTCACTCAACTTCCACATTTAATCAATCATGAAAGTCCATCAATCTACCTCCAAAACCCAACCCAAATCCATGCCATTTCTCTCCAATTCTCCTCTCAATTTCTTTGGTTGCATCAGGTATCCTATTAATTTCTCTAGAAGTTTCTTTCAGTGAAATCTGGCTGAATCTTATACTGGTCTGTTTGGTGGTACAGCTGGCATTCTGGGTTCTCTTTATCATTTTCTTGATGGATCACTTCTCTTTTCTGTACGGGACACCCTGTTATCTATGCCCTTTATCCTTCACTTGTTTTGGTGGAGGCATCCTCCAGCAGCTTCATGAGAAAACTACTGTATAATGTGTATATAGGAGGTAGACATTTTGAAAATATTGACTGTCTGAAAATGCTCTTAAGAGTTGATGCTTCTAATTTAAATTAGTCCCTTATCTTACTCCATTACTTTCTCATACTAGCAGTTATCTTAACTTGTAATTATATGGTAGTTTATTTACAAACTATTTAAAAAATAAATGTCCATCTTACACACTAAACTATAAGCTCCTTGAGAGCAGGGACAGTACATACTGCTTCAACCACCAGAAATATAGTGCACAGGACAGTCCCCTATAAGGCAGGTATCCAAAATAAAGTTATTTATGAGTAACTAAACATGAAAATAAATTATCAAGGTTAGACTCTGCTCTCTAGTCTCTGGTAAATCACTTGTGTTACTATCAAGTAAGAAACATTGCAAATTCAATTTTAAAAGAGAAAGGAGAAATAATCATATGGTTAAATACAGTTTTGATCAACCTTTTATTACACTGCTTTGGCATACATGCCAATGGATCTATTCCAAAATGATAAAAATCCACTCCAAGACTTTTAAGTATGATTCTTCAGTGCCATAAAAATCTAGGACTTTAACTCTTCAGATGCCAAGGGAGAAAAAAAAGTAAGCGTAAGGCATCTTTTCCAATAAGCCACCTAATCACTCAGAGATCTTACTCGGCAAATGTCAGCACATTCCACCTCAAAAAAGAGGTTAGTTTCATTTAGAGATGAGGCTGGGCAAGGTGGCTCATTACTGTAATCCCAACACTTTGGGAGTCTGAGGTGGCTGGATTGCTTGAGCCCAGGAGTTTGAGACTAGCCTGGCCAATATGGCAAAACTCCATGTCTACTAAAAATATAAAAATTAGCCAGGTGTGGTGGCATGCACCTAAAGTCCCAGCTACTCAGGAGGCTGAGGCGCAATCACTTAAACCTGAGGCAGAGGTTGCAGTGAGCAGAGATCACACCACTGCACTCCAGCCTGGGTGACACAGTGAGACTCTGTCTCAAAAAGGAAAATAAATAAATAAACAAGCAGCAATGATTTATCACTGGAACTTTGTTGGTTATTCCTCTGCTTCAGAGAATTGTCCAAGTGAGATGAATTTCAGAAACTAATCATAGGTTATAAAGTATAGAGACATCATCATTCATCTAGTTACATGCTCTTACTCTTCTTTAGAATAATAATGTTGGCACTCTTTTCCCTCCAATCCACATTGTATTCCTCCAAACACTAATAAAAGAAAAAAATTATTGTTGCTATGTAACTCAGACTCTGTTTGCCAGCACAAGGAAGTAATGCACATTATTAATATAGGAACAATAGAACAAAATCTGTACTTATCCTGCAGGTGAATAGAGTGAAAAGACAGTATGAAGTATAATTTGGACATTTTATCTATCAATCAACTGCCATGGATCCTCAACAGGTCTTTAGCAAGAAGCCTCATTTACTAAGGTTTTATTTTTATTAAAACTCCATTACTCCATTAATTGAGTTAGCCTAGTATTATCGGCACGCTCGTTTCCTCTCCTCAGAAATACATAAAGCTCTTTTAGCTAATTCATACTGTTTACTTGCATATATCTAAATTACATTTGTACTGCTACTTCTTATTATAGGTATTTTTGATCAAATTCCTATGAAAGATGCATTAGTTTTTTTCTCCCTGTGTTCAGCATACTCTCCATCTTTCTAATTATATGTAATTTTGTTTATGCTAGTTGTGTTTTAGTAATTCATTTTTCCTGGAATAATGTTCTCTCATTTGCTTAGCTTTCTGTGTGTTTATTATTAATGCAACTCCAAACACTCCATCAGTTGTCTAATCTTCTCTTAATACATTCACTTTAGATATTAATTTCATTTCCTGTAAGAACTCTCCCAAGCCCCATCCCACCAGCTTTTTGACCTAACCCAACCCAGACTGGTTGCTCCTTAAAAACGTACCACTTGGAACGATAATATCACCATAATACTTGGGATTCCTGTTTCCTGTTGGATCTCATTTCCAGTTCCTGTGTAGTTTTTCTTCATTTATATCCCTTGTTTTGGTAGAACCCATCTTCCAGTGGCTTCCAGAGGAAAAGTATTTAATCTTGACTGATAATATGACAGAGTATAGGATTCTGTGTTGGAAGTCACTTTCCCTCAAAAATTAAAAATTTAATTATTTGACAAATGATAATTGTCCCTTGTTTTGGTGGAACCCATCTTCCAGTAGCTTCCAGAGGAAAAGTATTTAAACTTGACTGATAATATGAAGATTATAGGATTCTGTGTTGGAAGTCATTTTCCCTCAAAAATTAAAAATTTAATTTTTTGACAAATGATAATTGTTTATGGGGTACATTGTGATGTTACATATAGTGAATAGTGAGCAGATCAGGGTAATTAGCATATTCATCATCTCAAGTACTTTTCTTTCTGTTGGGAACATTCAATATCCTCCTGCTAGCTATTTGAAACTGTAATGTATTACTGTTAACTATAGTTATCCTACAGTGGTATAGAACACTAGAGCTTACTCCTCTTATCTAGCTGTAATTTTGTATCTTTTGTATCTAATCTTCCCCTATTATCCCTCTTTCCTCTACCTTTCCCAACCTCTAGTATCCTGGTTTTTTTTACTTCTAGCAAGTCAACTTTGTTAAGCTTCCATGTGTGAGAACACACGGTGTTTGACTTTCTATTCCTGGTTTCTTTCACTTAACATAATGTCTTTCAGTTCCATCCATGTTGCTGCAAAAAACAAGATTTCTTTTTGGTGGCAGAATAGTATTCCATTCTGTGTGTGTGTATGTGTGTGTGTGTGTGTGTATATATATATATATATATATATGTAGATATACACACACATATATAGTATTCCATTGTGTGTGTGTGTGTATGTGTGTATCTGTATATACAGATACATATTCTTGGTCTGATCCTCTTATATTTTCTTTTATTTTCTATCTCCCCCGACTTTTTTCTTGCTTTACTTCTACAAATGTTTCTCCAAATTTTGTCTTTCATCTTAGTGATTATTCTTAATGCTCAAGCTCTTTTCTGTTCTCCTTAAGAATAGCGTACTGTAGCTTTTTTCTATTTATCTTCCTTGTTAGAAGTTGCCCTTACCTCTTGAGTTGTCTGCCATTGATAAACAGTTAGGAATTAGGAAAATAAAATTTATAAAGAAAAAAACTGATTAGGCGCTATGAGTACCAATAGTCTTGTTGACTGCAAGATTCCCTATAGGGCAATCTGCTGGCCTTTTGTAGAGAACCCTCAATATACATAACTTTAAGTCTATGTTCTGGAAGACAAATAGGACAATAAAACTGTGGTTCTTGGCATTCAGATTTCACTCCATTTGTTTATGGATTGGTACTGTGGTACCTTTTACTTGAATTTAGTCTGATATTGCCCCATCAAGACGCCTCCTCTTTTTCATCTGTCCTGAAAAAAAGCAAAGTATTTTCCTTGGATAGCCAAGGAGTATTCATCGGAAGGTGTAAAAAGGGAAAGAGGGTCTAGAAATCTTTATGCCACCAAATCCCAAGCCCTCTGAAGATTGTGAAATGCAAAATTCCTGGTTTTTAATCC